TCGGAAGTAGATTGCTTTGCCGTTGTTCGATACACACTGGTGAGGTAAGCCAAATTCAATCAAAGATCAGCGAGCGCTTGTTTTCCAAGAAAAAGCGGCTTGTTCAATTTGCATGCGAAAAGTGACCGTCGTTTTTAAGTTTAAACGAAGTCATGAAAATGCGGTACGTTGGAAGTAAGTAAGTGGCAAAAACGCATACCTTGGTGAAGGCGTGGCGTAAATACACACTTTTGATGACTTTTACAATTTCATTCATACTCATAGAATGCCGCGAATTAGGTTACGTCGTAGTTACCTTTTCCTATGAGTAAGGAAGAGGTGTTTGGGGCGTGACCTGTCATCTGCTTTCGTTACCTACAGGAAGTCTCTAAAGTTAGGTTCTGCCAAAAATTACTTGAACGAAGTACTAATGATTACAAGCAATAACTTGCAATTGGCTTAGCAAACTGCAGTGATAGCAATGTAAAAAACTTCGCACCAATGGTTTGAGTTTAGTAGAAGTTAATATGAAAAGTACCACTTTACTCTTTGGTCAATGTTTTTGGGAAGCTAAAAATATTGTTGCTTGAGTTCAATGTGTTCTACACCTCCTAATCAGATAGTTATTTGAAAAACGACATTGAGCAAAAACAAAAACCCTCCTTGTGTAACTTTGCAAGATAGGGCAATACTTTTCTTTGAACTATAGTATAAGGTAAACGAAACTGCAACAATGAGCGTGCTCCCAGCTTACCAATCTGAGAAAAGTTATGACCTTCATCGGAATGCTATTATGAGTTGAAAAAGGGGGAATGTAGACTTTTTGCTCCACTTTAAATTGATTTCTATTGAATTTCCATAGAATTGTAGCTGCGCAACCAGTGCATTTGAAAATCATTCTCACGTAACCTTTTCTTACTGAAATGTGATCAACCATTTTCGTCCATGCACGAACAAAGGGGCAGATATGTTGATCTTGCTTCATTTGGACTTTTGTCGATATGGCCACTTAAATAGTTTCATTTTTTTGCGCACTATTTGTGCGCTTTTCTAGATATTTGGCCAAATGACCTCTAACGCTTTTCCTGTTACTTTGAAATCCTGCTCTACAAAATCCATTCATCCTTCAAAGTCGTTTGGTTTGTTTCGATGACTTGAGAAGTG